TAGTAAATTTTAAGATTATTCCAAATATTACCATTTCAAATAATTTTAACTTTAACGGTAACCGGCGATATGGTGCAACTCACCCTAAGTTATATTCACTTTTTTACAAATTGCAATTTTTACACTTTAAACCAACTTGTTTTGTTAGACATTGTGGCTTTGAATGTGTTAAAATCAAAGGTATTGGTATGGAGAAAAGCGGTACTACGCTGGAGCATCGGCGCAACACTAGATTATTAGCATATACGTCACATCCCTATCTGACATCTGTCAATGTCATTCAGGCACATTAGAATTAGCGCGCCATTCTGGCACGGGAGTTAGTGGTCTGAGTGTAGAAATTACACTTACAATTATGTTACTAATAAGTATAAAAAAAATATATACTAATAAGTATATATTTTTTTTACATTTTAAACATACCTTAAATGGATGACCAGATAGAATGATTCTCTTGATGATAAGCCTGTCTGGATTGCAAGAAAGTAAAACTCCAGACGCTATAAGCTGAAGTTTCGTGTTCTTTTTCTCCTGTGAATTTACATATTAAATTAAACAATAAATAAGATAAACACGAATAAATAAAGATAATAGTCAAAACTCCACATACCTTAAAGCATAGAACTGATGATGGACTGAATTGAATTGGAGCAAAGAAAGTAGCTACACATGTTGATGCTGGTTGGAAAAACCTTTCATACTGAAATTTAAGAATTTATTTTTAATCATAACCTTATTTAAGCATAAAAAATATTAATTACTAATGAACTGTAGAGCAATAACAAACCTTATGTTTACTTCCGTTTGTATGTTGACTGAAAACTGGATTAACAATAAATCTTCTATATCCCACTTGGAAAATAAGTCGTTCTTTACTCTTGATGGGCTCATCACTGGCGCCAGTACGCTTTAGTACCACATTCATCACAGACATCTTGTGCTCGTGAGGAAGTAGACCAAATACAGCCAATGGAGCATTACCATTAGATGTATTGAAAGCATTCCATAAATCTTTACGAACACCTACCACATGTATCGTTATGTAAGAACCATACTAAAACAAAGAATATAAAGCTAGATTAGTATTAAATCTTACTAATATTATTATGTGAAGAAAAGAAAATCTTACCATACTGACAAGACTGTCTTCCAATTCTTTAAACACACGCTTTCTAGTGCGTTCATAATTCTGAAATTGAAATATACGAGCATAATCTTCTGGCAAATTCTCTTTGCAATCCCAAGTGGAAGTCCGGAAAGATTCCAGTCCTCTGTACCTCATGAATCGTTCCCTAGCAGGAACATCCTGTGGTGTGTCCACTTCATCCGGAAACTGTCTTTCCTCTTTAGCAGCTGCCAATTTTTGTAACATTTCATGTTCCTCCAATGCATCTATAGTTCCATCATATTTCTCATCAGTCGGTCCAAACTCAGATTCAGTAACAGACTGAAAATCGTTCTCTTCTTTATTGTCTTCTTTATCAGAGTTCTCTTCCTCACATGACATAAATTCCTCATCTTCATCACCATCATCACTATTTCCCGTTGATTCATCTTCAGGGTCAGACTCTACAATCCAAGCCGCTTGGTAATCAGACCAACCTTTAGGAACCTTTTTTACTTTCTTCACTGTGTCAATATTAGCTTGTTCTATTTCTTCTTCTGTGGGCCAAGTCTGTTCTGCGTCCATTGGGTCTGGAATATTTTCTGATGCTAAGCTCTCCTGTTTTGTGGGATCAACTCTTTGCAGGATTGTTCTAGTCATTTCAGCTTCCATAGTTTCAGATTTAGTATTTTCTTTACCTAAGTTCAAAGGATGAGGGTCATCAAGGCCTTCTATTAGTGACATTTGAAAGTCACCTAACCCTGTTATATGGATTAAACCATTAACATTTAATGGCATTCCTCGTAAATATCCTGTTACCTTAAGGGTACCTAAATCTCCTTCTGAATCTGGTACATATTCCACTTCTTCAGCCAACATGTAAGGTCTTTTTTCTCTGTGGTGTATGATTTTACGCTTTTGGTTACCAATTTTACGTAAAACATTAAGTCCATCGGAACTTTTATCTAGCTGTAATACTTTTTCTTCTGGTAACCATTTAGAAATAAGTTTTTGAACATTTTGTTTTTCAGATGTTCGTTTCTTAGGATGTACTCCTTCAATATCCATTGCGACTACAATTGGTGTTGGTATACCTTGAGCCATAGTTAAAGCAAGTGCCTTCTCCCCCCACTCATCAACAGGTTCATCAAGAGTGGAACTAACAAATAGCACTGTATCGGCAACTTTTAGCGCATCAAGTAAACTAAATTCATTCTCAATCTCAGGGCATATAAAGGAGAAACGCTGTTTAAAGTTTGGCAAGCTAAAAATAGATGAACTGGGTATTAAATATTCCATTTAAAAAACAAACACATCTTAAATAATATGGCAATGCTTAAACTCTTAATTCCATTAAAATGTCTATGATTTGTAAGCAGACAAAACACGACAGTTGTTAAGATATGTACAGTTTTAAGTATCAAAGAAAAATAAATTACCTAATGTGCAATATTCCATTTTCTGATGTACTAGCCACAGCTGTTTCCGAACATGTTTTCAAAATAACCAGAGCAGATTGTACATCAAGCTGTGCGTTAAGAGGCACAACGCAAACCAGGAAAGGCGGCGTACGAGTACCACCAATGGCACGTTTCTTGGCCAGAACTTCTTCCCGATCTCGTTTACGTATTTGCATCGCCTGATTGCGACGGTCTTGTTTACTCAACGCATGACGATTTCGACGAAAAATCGCATCGACACTTATTTTACCTAATAGGAAATAACTTACATTAGCCTCTCTTTGCAAGATAACTGATATTGGAGTACGTTTATAAAGTATTTTTCTAACCTTTAACAGCGGCAGAAATACTGCGTTTTGATCTGTGACGTGATTTGTGAACTTTATTGCTCTGTTTTAAGTTTCCAGCGCGATGAGCCTGCTGCATTTTTGCTTATCAATAGTACTTTCTGTTAAAAAAGAAATTCAATTATTTACAAATACACATGGAACAACCATGCCCGACAGTTTTTTTTTTTGACAGTGACATTGACATACAACATAAGAAAATTGACATTTATAGCCTTGTATGAAAATGGGAAAATTTTAAAAATCTGCAAGAAAATTCACATACAATTAATGTTTGAAAGATTTTGAAAACATAACAATGCTTATCGCCAAACATATACAAAATGATTTGAATTGCAACGTCGAGTTTAAAATAAATCAATACTTAAAACAATTGAAATAAACCTGAACTACTTTATCCTTTATTGTTAGTTTTAAAGCAATGATTTTAAAATTTGTTATAATATGTGATTTAGTTAACTACAAATACGTAATAAATTAAAATAAGTAAAAAAATCTTAATGAAAGTGTATTAATTAATTTAAAATAGGGTAATGTATTACAACGCCAACATCACAGGTCACGTGACGTGACGTTGTGGACGTGTCATTTGTGGACAGCTCGCTGGCGGCGTTGCGCAGGTTCACTTTAGTAAAAGTCGAGTTGGAGTCTTATTATTGAACAAATGTTGAATGGTTTCATCCGAATTCATCAGTAATTATTTTAGTTAGGATAGTTAAAATACAGTAAAACAAAATGGGAAGTGAGTATCGTTGTAATATTGCTTAAAAATAGTGAATATCGTATAGACACGTATTGCTTCTTTTTGTGTGAATAATTTTCTGAATTGTACTTTGTGTGTTAAAAGGTGTAAAATAACTTAAGATTTCTCGTCTTTACAGTCAAATTCCTGGAAGTTATAAAGCCATTCTGCAGTATATTACCGGAAATAGCAAAACCCGAGAGAAAGGTAAGCCCATCCTGGTTTTCATTCAAAATCAGTCTTTACGTCTTAGATTTCCTTTACGAAGCTTTTAAAATAAGAAATTGAGTAGTTTCACGGAATTTTCGAAATGTATTTCGATTAACAAAAAGTGAAAGTGTTTTAGGTTATGCCTTGATTTGGGGTACGTAACTGTAAAGCAATTTGCTAGCGTCACATCAAACATTAATCATTAACTTTTCCTTTTTCAGATCCAATTTCGAGAAAAAGTATTATGGACAGCAATCACATTATTTATTTTCTTAGTATGCTGCCAGGTAAGTCTAACATTCTATGTTCTCTAACATATAAATGATGTTTTATCACTAATTAACTACTAATTACATGTACTTACCATATGTTTTGCTATGAATATATGACTAAAATATATATTTGAGTAAAACTTTGACATACATATGCTACCTTAGACATAAATGGCTTTACATAGAAAAGTTCAATGGAATTTTTAAATGTTTCGAAAGATTTATAAGAATATGTCAAATATCATCTAAATGTAACAATCAAGATTAGTTTTATCTGTAAAACTTCCAACGTACCAAGTACCACAAACCGTCAAAGTACAACAAAACTTCACAATGGACTATAAATAAATAGTACATGATATTAAAATCTTGACAGATTTTAATACATTTAATTTCAAAAAATTCTTGTTGTAAATCAGCATAATGTAACAAACACTGTACTTTCAGATTCCATTATTCGGTATAATGTCTTCGGACAGCGCAGACCCCTTCTACTGGATCCGTGTGATCCTTGCTTCAAACAGAGGAACGCTTATGGAACTCGGTATCTCTCCCATCGTAACGTCAGGTCTCATCATGCAACTGTTAGCTGGTGCAAAGATTATTGAAGTTGGTGACACTCCGAAAGACAGAGCGTTATTCAACGGAGCACAGAAACGTAAGAATCTTTATGTAATTATTTAACATTTGTATCAAAATGTACAACATAACAAGATGTAGAAACTAATTCTTAGTCTATTGTTATTACACATAAATAAACAGAAAATTTATGCACACTAAATGCCACTTTACATAAACCAAAACCATTAGAAAGTTTTCAAATTCATACTTTTATTTTCAACATATGTAAACTGTAAAAAAAAATCCAAGAAACATTTTATATTGTGGATTTCAAAATGTTGCAACATTTTCAAAGGTGATAAGAATATTTTCCAATCTTGTAAAAAATCTAACATAATCAACTGTAAAACTAAAATTTCTTAATATTATATGTAATTTTTTTGTCAGTTATTATACAAAAGCAATTATTTATTTCAAAGGCAAATTGCCAATCTCTCTTAGTACTTTCAAATCTGGCGTTATACCAAATTCTTAACATAAATCTATTAATATTTATATCTATCGTAAACATTGTCAGTCATCAAATTTTAAAATTAACAACCTATTACTGTTTGAATGCAATAACTACGAAGGATTTTTATATACAAGGATAGTTTACAAGTTTGTTAGAGTTTGCCACCTAAATAATTCAACAGATCTTGATTAAGGCATAGATGTAGAGTCATAGTCTAGAAGAACACTTAGGCTACTTATCTTTTTCATTCCGTGATATATATTTGTTTATTCACAATTTGATATATTTCCAGTGTTTGGTATGGTGATCACAGTAGGACAGGCTATTGTGTACGTAATGACAGGCATGTACGGTGAGCCGAGCGAGATTGGTGCTGGTGTATGTCTGCTCATTATTATACAGCTGTTTGTTGCTGGACTCATTGTGTTATTACTCGATGAACTTCTACAGAAAGGTACAGTATTTTACTAACTACAGATTTTTTTTATATTTAATCCGTTTACAGTATAGATGTAGAAAGTGAAAGGACAAATTCTGTTTATTCATTTTGTTTCCCAAGTTTTGAGTATTTTAAAACAATGTTTGTTGGAGTTTGTGCTAATAATTTCAGAGTTTTTTAATAAGACCCAAGTGATTTTAGTAGTTATTTGTAATGTGACAATTTATTATTTACAGGATATGGTCTGGGATCTGGTATTTCTCTGTTCATTGCCACAAATATCTGTGAGACGATTGTATGGAAGGCCTTCTCACCTGCCACAGTTAACACCGGTATGTATTATATCCATACTATTCAATTTTAATGTACTTTTACAGCTTTCTTTTGTTCTTAAGTTCAACTTTATACCAGAATTATTTGTAAGGCTGGTAAAGTTTACATTTCTTTTTTATATTACTAAATGCTTGATTTGGTTTTCCCTTTCCAAACTTCATAAAGGGGGGGGGGATGGGAAAGGGAGTTGAATTTGGCAGAGAAGGGAACAAATAAAAAGGGAAAGTATTCACTTTCTCCTTGCCCTGATGTTTATAAACACCGAATCTGCAAAGGCTGTCTTTGAGTCATTTTGCTATTTATAGCGAATTTGGCTTTTGTAATTTACTCTAGAAAAGATGAATTTCCAAAATAATCCATTAGGTTGACTACTTGTTGAAAGTTACAATGTTCTCAGGGGTGTTTCCCATTGGTTTGGTAGATTGTACGGACTCAATCAACCCAATGGGAAAATCCCCATCGGGTAACACCCATCATCAGTTAGTAATTATGTGTGTGTGATGTAGGCAGAGGCACAGAATTCGAGGGCGCGGTGATCGCGCTGTTCCACTTACTGGCGACACGTCCGGACAAGGTGCGCGCGCTGCGGGAAGCCTTCTACCGCCAGAACCTGCCTAACCTCATGAACTTGCTCGCTACAGTGCTCGTATTTGCTATCGTCATATACTTCCAGGTATTTATATCGTTACCTTACTATATGTCTCCTCTAAGGTTAATTTGAATTAATATTCTACCACTCGGTTACAAAAATTATTTATCCATATAAAAAATAATATCTATATAAACTACCTATGTATTTTACATAGGTAGTATAAGTAAGTAACGCTTACTGCCAATAAAGGATTAATGTGTGTGGTATTGTCTTGTTTTAAAGTAGTTTTATGTGAAATGACATATATTTCCTGTCAGAAATTAATAGCAATTTTGTTTAATCGTAAAATTTGTTTGGAACATTCTTTGTTGATTGTTGTTTATAAGTCTATATTGTTTGTTTTCTTCCTGTGTTGTAAAAACGCGTTGTGTGCGCAGGGCTTCCGCGTGGACCTGCCGATCAAGTCAGCGCGGTACCGCGGCCAGTACTCCTCCTACCCCATCAAGCTGTTCTACACCTCCAATATCCCCATCATCCTGCAGTCCGCGCTCGTCTCTAACCTCTACGTCATCTCGCAGGTAATACCTTTTTTCATGTTTTTTTTTTTAATATAGTTAGTACATTCTTTGGAGAAACACAAGTTAGACTATGTTCTATATTTATGACAAATATAATCGAAATTCATTTAGTGATTCTGGAGTTACTCTCTGACATTTTTATATAACGACTAGCTGTTGCTTGCGACTTCGTTCGCGTCAAATTAAAGAATATTAATACCCGTCACACCTTTCTAACAGTGAACGAATTTGTAAAATCGGCTCAGTAGTTTTTGAGGTATTTCAATACAATATAGGCTATATAAATATAAAGACAATTTCCACTTTGGATACAATATTTTGAAAATCCTTTGTCATTTTGTTGCATCTATGATACTAATATTATAAATGCGAAAGTTTGGATGGATGGATGTTTGTTGGAGTTTGTAGCCTAAACGGCTGAACGGATTTCCATGAAATTTGGCATATACGTAGAGGATAATCTGGAAGAACACTTAGGCTACTCAATTTTATTTTTTTTTAAATCCACGCGGACGGCGTCGCTGGCGAAAGCTAGTTAAAATATAAAATCGGAATGTATAAAGAGTGTAGTACCGTGTGTGCAGATGCTGGCGGTGAAGTTCAGCGGCAACTTCCTGGTGAACCTGCTGGGCGTGTGGGCGGACGTGGGCGGCGGCGGGCCGGCGCGCGCCTACCCGGTGGGCGGCCTCTGCTACTACTTCAGCCCGCCCGAGTCGCTGGCGCACATCGCGCACGACCCGCTGCACGCGCTGCTCTACGTGCTCTTCATGCTCGGCTCCTGCGCCTTCTTCTCCAAGACCTGGATCGACGTCTCCGGCTCCTCCGCCAAAGATGTCAGTCTCACTTCGGCTTCCTAAAGCTCCACTACCCTCTTGTATACTTACCACCGATTACAATCTGATACTAATTTGTAATTTAAACGTGGCCTTATCAATGCTTGATATTTTAGTATTAACTGTTAGCTGTTAGAATTTTCTTGCGACTTTTAATTTTAATTTTACACTGAAATTAGTATTTATCAAGTTAATATAAAAGGCATAAAATAATATGTAAATCACATTGTTGATGTGTACGTAGGCACCATTTATGATTTTTTTGTTTTTAAAATTTCGCTATGCATATATGATCTGACATTTTAAAATTAATCAAGCATATAACAATTGTCCACCAGGTGGCAAAGCAGCTGAAGGAGCAGCAGATGGTGATGCGCGGCCACCGCGACAACTCCATGATCCACGAGCTGAACCGCTACATCCCCACCGCGGCGGCGTTCGGAGGTCTCTGCATCGGCGCGCTCTCCGTGCTCGCCGACTTCCTCGGCGCCATCGGCTCCGGCACCGGCATCCTGCTCGCCGTCACCATCATCTACCAGTACTTCGAGATCTTCGTCAAGGAGCAGGCGGAGATGGGCGGCATGAGCACACTACTCTTCTAAGACTACGTGGAGTCTGACAGATCACGTCATACGTCAACTATCAACAGTCATTTAGAAAAACGAGGAATGTCTCTTTCTTTCCTTTTAAAAAGTAGACAACCTTTGTTGTCAACCTTGATGTCTGAGAATCGCTTCGCTATTTCAGCGATTTAATAGCCACTTTTTTAGTTTAGTGGTTGCAAATCAATTAGTGTTGTTTTCTCAAATTAAATCAACACTAAGGGATTAATGATCACTAAGTGTTGGTACATATCTTGTGTCGTATCTGTCAACTTTACTTGTAATACAATTTTGTGGCGGGGAGTGTTGTGACGACAGGTGACGTCACAGCACTCCCCGCGACTCCGTGCGTGAAGCGTGTTTGGGTTATGTGCTATTTATATGAGAACTTTATATAATAAAATAATTTACGAGAAGTACAGACTTTTTTTACGTGAACCCAAAACGGACTGATAACTTCAAATATCAATCAATAGCAAAAAGTCCGGTAAATGACAACTTTTTTTTTTATTTAAAATCTAGTAATTCAATTGATTTTTAGTATTTGATATACTAAAATCGAAGAATATATGTTCAATGTTTTTCAAATAATTGCATGTTAAAACCATGAACATAAAGATAAAATTTAGCTATAAAATAAAATTAGTTTAGATAAGTGTTGTGCGTTCTATTTCAGGTATTCCTGGCCTATTAACTTAAGGTTTCATCCAAATCATAATAGTTCCGTAAAATATCACTATTCACATGGTTTTAAAAGTGGCGACAATGAAAACCCACTGTTAAACATGACATACTAATTTAATTGTCTTTTTAAGGTTAATATACTCTCTTGTTGTACTAATCTCAAATGTGATAGATTTAGTTTGCGCCGTACACATCTTGTTAATTAAATTTGATTTAAATAAATTGTCTTTTATTTATAACATCTTACTCATATTATAAATGCGAAAGTTTGGATGTATGGATGTTTGTTAGAGTTTGTAGCCTAAACTACTGAACAGATTTCGATGAAATTTGGTATAGATGTGGAGGATAGTCTGGAAGAACACTGATTATTAATTTTTGTTATTTTTTAATACCACGGAGCGGTCCCCGTCGCGGGCGAAAGCTAGTATCAAATAAATGAAATTTAACTATAAACATTTGTAAAAATAGGTAAAAGAAATAAAACGTTGTTTTTATATTATAACTTTATTCTCCTCACTATACATGCAAATACAAGGACAAAAAAAAAACATTTTTTCCCCGTTTCCCTTAGTAATCTGTTAGCATAGATATTTATTCGGCCCTTATAACAAAAATGTTTCATGTCTAATGGTAACAAAGATATTTACAATAAACAATAGTTATCGGCCAAAGTTTCGAATTATCTAAATCAAATTAAGTTTAAGATATGAGCCAAATTGGTAAGAGATCTAATACGAACAAAAATGCCACAGACCAAAGAATGGATAGACATGGCACAACACAATTAATTTCAAAACATCGATAGGCACTTCTTGCACGTCTGTAGACTGTGCTGTTTATTGCTACGCTACACCGAAATACTACCAGCTTGTTATTTGGTCCCTTACCAAAATGGAATATAAGAGTAATGCAAATGAATTTTAAATTATACTTAGGAAGACATTGCATTCAAATATATAAGCAATCTAACAAACCTCGATATAATATTTATTATATATCTTTCGAGTTGGCAGTAATTTGCATCAAGGAAGGTTAAATATGAAGGCTTCAGCATATTTTAAACATCTTTTTGACTTTACTTTTATATTTATAAAAATAGCTCATTTTTATTGTTTCTGATAAGCAAGAAATCGTCAACTCTAAACTTTTATAATTCTATTTCATATCACTATTTACAGATAAATTTATATGTAAGCTAAATCAATTACATAGAAACAAATCATTTATTTTTAATTAAATGTAGATTTTACTTTGAATATATGGAAAACATTCTATTATTTGTCTATTAATTTTGAAGAGTTGGTAACTATTAAGAAATTGAAAGAAAACCTTAGAATGCTTACAATCAAAAATGTATGTATGGAGGAACTTTGATTCGATCACGTGTCAATCTCGAAGCCAAATAGAGCCATTTTATTAGGCACAGGCCGTTATATCGTCAATATTTCTAATTCGATTAGTACATAAATCATATAAAATATTATTCAAGACTTCCACCCCCTTGAAATTTATATAGACTATATACTTTTTTCGTGTCTACCCGCAAATACACATCGAAATGATACTTTATATAAATCATGGTGTCAACCTATCTATCAAAACAATAAAAGACTTGATAAATCGTGTAAAGTTAGGAAAACATTTATTTTAAATAACAAATTCAAAAAAAAAGAAAAGAAGAAAAAAACAAGACAAAATAACTAAGAATAACAGTGCCAATTAATTGCTAATAAACACAAGGCAAATGGTCAAATTGCAAACCAGTTTTATAATCTATAATACACTATTTTATCTGTCAATTTTGTACAACTTTAGAAAGTGAATCCGATAACAGGAATAAGAATATTGAAGGTACATAGATAAAAAAAATTGACTGAATATAATTAAATATAATCTAAAAAATAACAACAAAAGTCAGCCACACCGCAACCGACATCAGATGACCGACTGCGTTACAATTAAACTAATATCTACGGATTTCGCTAATATATTTTTATTTGTACATGCAGACAAGTGCTGCTAGATGTCTCTGCCGAACTCAACACAAGCTGTCATACATAGATATATAATCTATAGATAATCTAGAGCAAAAAAGGCGATAAAACAATCTCCGGAGGCCTCTTGTTCGAGTAAATTCAGTGTTATTTACACTAAAAAAAGACATTTCTAAACTCAATTCTCGATTAGATGTCAAATTTTAAACACTCCATTTATAGGTTATATATCTATGAGTCGTAATTTAGAATAGAATAGAATATTCACGAACATTCAGTGCAGAATGTCCGTCACACGCGACGCCAAGTCGTTATACTAAATTATAATGGTAAAAATATCCATAGAACATACCACGCGTCTATACTAACGGTAACTTTTAGGCTGAAGTTAGAATTGTATTAGTATATTTTATGTTCTAAATGTCAGGTTCGCAGGTGAATTTAGTGTTGCATGTAAAGTATGTTATGATGTTATGATTTAGTTCGAAGCAAAACAAGGGTGACTATAATTTAGAGTGTACGGGGGACGGTGTAGATGACGTCGCATGGTGTAGGGGGTGCGAGTTAGGCGAGGGTCTCGATCTCGTCGGGCACGGGGGGTGCAGGGGGTGCGGGGGGCGCGGCGTCGGGCGACCCCAGCGCCTTAGGGGGCGCGCCCGCGTACGGCGAGGTCTTAAGCTTCCTCGCTTCACGGCGCTGCTTCTTCTGCTGCATCACCAGCCGCAGCTGCTCCAGTTTACACTTAGTCTTTGAGTTTTCTATAGCGAGAGCGTTCGCGGTGTCACACTTCTTGCACGGCTGTCCGGGCGAGGCGGCGCATGCGGGGCACGCGGGGCACGCGGGGTCACGCCGGGGGCACCGGCACGCCTGGGGGCACGCGCACGGCTTGCCCGCGTGCCCCTCGCACTCGCCCAGCGAGCACGCGCCGCTCTCCTCAGACACGCCAGCGGAACATATGTGCTTTGTTTCCTTCTGAAATATCATTTTACAAATTTTATTTTACAGTACCTTTCTAGTACACTATTGTAATTCTTCATATTTGAAATAAATTTCAAGCATATCTTAATAAAGCGTAATAACTACTTATCATATCTAATAGGAAGTAAGATTGAAACTAAAAAGTCATTATCACAAACAATTCTTAAATTTATAACATTTTCAGTCCTTTATAATAGTATCATAGACAGAAATCAAGATATAACTGTAATACTAAAACAATTTGGCAGAATATTTGTATCAAAGAATAAACATTTACATTTGAATAGAGTTTGGAGAAGTCAGAATTTACATAACAGCGGGCAGACACTGACAATCCAAAGTTTAAATAGCTATAAAGCACAAATTATGAGATCATTCATTTCAAAGTAGTTTATCAGTGAAATATGAACAATTTAATCTATAATATTTGAACAATATAAAGGAAATATATAAAATACCTGCGCAAGAGTGGATATTGGCGGCGAAGCGCACAGCAAATCGTTCAGTATATGAATAATAGTTGATATATCTCTCTTCGGACGACCATATCTGAAAACCAAATGTAACCTGTTAACCCAAAAAATTCAAATACACACATAAATTCAACATTGATTTATATTCTGCAGGTTAAAAAACATCAAAGATAATGAAAACAGTCAAAATATATTTTAAACCTATACTAATATTATAAAGAGGAAAGATTTGTATTTTTGGATATTTGTATGTATTGAAATATCTCTAAAACTACAGAGCCAACTACAAAATTTCAAATTTCAAAATCGTTTTACCATTAAAAAGCTATGTTTCCACTTAGTAAGTTGTAGTTGAAATTAAAAATAAAAAAAAATCAGTCCATTATTTTTATTATTTTTAATTCCACGCAAAGTTGCCAGCCACAGCTAGTGACCTATATTTGAACTTCAAATTCATCAAACAATTTAATACAAATCAGTTTGTATATATATCCTTATTTATTAACTACTTTGGGCATGTTCTGTAAAATAGAATACAACTAGCTATTGCTTGCGACGTCATCCACATGGAAATAAAAAAAAAGTAATAAACATAGCCAAGGTTACTATGTAATATAAATCCTCCCCTTTATAACATGAATGTAATTAAATAAGTTTTTGTTCTAGAAAACTCTAAAACAAACAAAATTAATACATCAAACTAACATGTGTAATATCTATATAAGAGTAGCTAAAAACCTATGCATCTAAAATGTTAACTAGGTTATACACATAGTGGGTTTTCCACTAAAAGCTGTACAAACACAATTATAATAGCTTGTTATTCGAAATTACTCACTATGCACATCTCGTAAATATAACAGGACAGATTTCACACATACAAATGTTTTGTAATACTACTCAGAGTTTTATGGTTACTACCAACCCTTAGTATAGCTTTAGTTAAATGAAAACAACCACTTAACTGTTAACCACTCTGAGTATAGAACATTCAGAATAGGGGGGAATCGTGATTCTTTTACCATCTCATATAGTTTTTTATAAGCATACTTTATACTAATATTATAAATGTAAAAGTTTAGATGGATAGATGGATGTTTCTTAGAGTTTAGGCTACAAACTGCTGAACGGATCTCAATGAAATATGGCATACATGTAGAGGATAGTCTGGAAGAACACATAGGCTACTTGGTTTTGTTTTTAATACCACGCGGACGGAGTCGCGGGCGAAGAGTTAACTATAATTTAGTAATAATAACTAAGTCAATACAAATTACTATAGTATATAGGTATGATAGATATATTTTATTACAGACTGGACAATTTGTTCCTGATGATATAAGATGTATAGCTTTTATATCTTGTTTTGTAAAAATATGTAATTATAGAGATTTTAAAAAGAAATATAAAAGGCATTACATAATTTCCGGCATATGGTATGTTAGTAACAAGATGAACTTGCAAATGTCACAAAAAGTGACTTTTCAGCAGAAAAACCTTTATATTTATGTCAATGTAAGAAAAATTACTAATTAATATTTTAACATGTACATACATGCGTAATACATACGTAAGCATTTTTATAATGTGACCTTTAACAAAGACTTAAGAAGTAAGATTGATTATTATTTCTATCCAAATGATTCATATTTTAAACTAGGCATCATATTAATAAGTTAATAAGTTAATTAGGCATCATAACTTATTTAATACACTTAGTTTATGAAAAAAATAAATTGGATTGAAAGATATATGCTCTAATGCCCTTTAAAATCTACAAATTACAGTATTAAAATCAATATAACCAATAAAAGAAACTTTCTCTATAGAGGCCTATTTTTGCAATGAATATGTAAATATGTTTGCTGCATCATGATTATTGTGTAATTGCTATCTTGACATATTGTTTGCATATGAAAATTTTCATGAAATCAAAATTCATTTGCACTATTGTGTAAGTTTGAAGAATTTTATTTATACAACATTTATTACATTAATTGCATTACCTTGTATAGAATAGTTGCTTAGAAAAACTTTTTTTATAACATCTATTAAGAATTTATACATTCCCAATAAATTTGTTTAATGACATCACTGGAGAATGTTCCACTAAATATTTTGTTCAACATGTTTTATGTAAATGTTTTGTAAATGTAAACTAAAGATAATACAAATAGCTTACCTATCTTGCAAAGCAGGGTTCAGTGTTCCAGAGAATGTTCCTGAATATATTCCTTTGCCATGATGTTTCATTGACTCAATTACAGCACCGGGACCTATCTTGGAGCGTACCGTTTCCTCCGCCATTCTGAGATCAAGTTTATTTGTCAAAACCTCTTTTGATAACCTTTTAAGTTTCTGTGTTAAATTCTTTGAGGCCTCTATAAGAGCTTTTGTATCAACTGGTGGAGTTGGAGAGACTCTTTGTGCCTTTTTGGGTGCATCAGGAGCTTTGAAAGAGGCTTTTGATGTAGATGGTACAGCATTATCCTCAGCAATAGCAGTACTTAAAGGTACAGGTTTCTTAACACTGCCTACATAAGGCTCAGTTCTTGAGGTAGATGGTTGCGGTTGAGTTTCTTGTCGCATTTGCATTCTTTTTTTGTGCTTATTAACAACAGATTGCATAAATGCCTTCTGTTTATTCTGTCCAATGGGACGTTTAAACTTTGAAGTTTTATGTAGAAGATATTGGAACCGTTTGTTTTTTAAAGGCTCATTTAAACTTTGGAAGGAGGGTAAAGACCCATTCGGAGACTCTTGACTTCCATGACTGGTTGTAGCCAGATTTGAAATCTCTCTGTCCATCATAGATTCATCTTGTTCCTCAAACAAGCCTTTGTCTATTGCACTGTTGAATAAATTCTCCATTGGATATTCATCTATGGTGCTTTCAGCTAGAAATGAACTTTGGTCTGTGAAATTGTCACTGTCATCGCTGAGTGAGCTCTCTGGTGTGATGGATGCGGTAGAGGAGTATGTTTTGTCACACGCAGCACTCGTGGAAGGAGTCACATCATTAGGTTTATTATTTGATAAAAGATCTATTAAACTACTTTTAACTGAATTTGTAATAGTTGTTTCTCTACTCTCAGAGACTGATGCATCCATTGGACTAGATACTAAATTAGAAAGAGACTTAATAGGTGATTGTTCATTCTCTAAAGATGTATCTGATAGATCTGACATTGAACAATTGGAAGCATCAACATCTTTTTTATCTGTTTCAGTTTTATTTGCATATTTTTCTTCAGCCATTGTACGATACAACTGGAATGCATTTTGTAGCATTTCCAATTCATGTTTCTGTAACATTGGTGATGTTGATGCATCTTTGACTTTAATGCCCTCTGATGAATCCTCATTCTTTGAAGACTTCTGCGAGGTGCTTTGTGAACTTGAAGATTCTGAATGGTCACATTTTGTACTTGTAGAACTGGATGCTTTAGCGGGTGTGGATGTCCTTAGTGATTTGCCACCTGAAGAGTTTAGTGTGGACAACTGAAGCTGTATAAGCATCATGTGATCACCAAGTCTCATTGTCAGGTTTAGTGGTGATTTACCACTTAAAAAGTCATTTACTTGTGTGTCATTAAGTGATTCTAAAGCTTGCATCACAGAGTTTTCAGGCCTCTGACTCTGTGAACAATCAAAAACCACGATAAAGATATCCCACATTTGCATACATCAATAGTATAATGTGTTTTAGTGAATTATGGTGATGAATAATGAATTGTGGTGAAGTGATTGTTGTGAAACACGTGATTGAGGTGTATGAGATCGATGTGTCGACACAAGGTGACGTGCTCACCAGCAGGCCCGTCTCCACGCTGGGCAGCAGTATGACGCGCGAGCCGTCCAACAAGCCATTCTCGTCCAAAGTGCCGTCCTGGAGTTGTCTGCCAACACAGTACAACTTATCAACAACAGTCAAAGGACGCGGATGCGTCATCGTATCGACGCAACTTATTTCCGTGATACCTATGTTTAACAATAGAAGTTTGGCGTCCGACGCTACACTTACCTTTCGCGATGCAGAAGACATATTCGGTCCTTTGACACTTTTAGCTTCTTGGAGACCAACTTTTTAAGGTGCTCCACTGTATTTTTACCGTTCAAGCTAACGGAGAAATTACCACCAGTTGTAGTCTGTATATTTAGCGTGATGTCTGTTGAATGGGGCGAGCCACACCCGTACACTTCTGTTCCAGTTGCACGTTCCATATTTTGCACATATATTACACTAAAATTTTCGTATATTAATATAACAACGACACACAACTTATCTAAGATTACACAGCTACTTTATTGCAGTATAGAAATAACAGGGTCACACGCTAGACCCCCAGATTTGATGTGGCCGTCGGTGTGACCAATCTCTATCGCCGATGTCCCGTTATTTTTTTTTCTTTAACAGCTGATGCGAAGCGATGCTCTTTGTGTGCTCCGTTATTTGAACGTAATTAATTATTTTAGGTGTGTTCCTTATTGGTACAAAGCCCGTCATTCGTATATGTTGATAGTTATAGTAAAATAAAGGGTTTCATATATTTTTTAATGGAATATTTGCTAAAATAGAATCAAATTAATTCTCGTATTTCGAGAACTTTGTATAAATTTTACGTATAACGGGCTGCAAACGTCATTCGCATTTGACGTCATATGACGCTTACACCTCGTTGGGCGTGGGAAATTTAAAATTTTAATCGAATGTCATGTAAAGTGATAGGTAGGTATAAAAATTCCGTTCTGGTATTAACAATGGCGGATATATGTTTTATTATGATTTCAGGGCGTGGCAACGAAAGCCTGCTATAGTTTTTAATATAATGAAAACAACGAATATATCAACTATGCTTTACATAGACATTTACGTAAATCATGATGTTTTTCTCTTCATGATAAAACTAATGTGTAAAACTCAAAGTTAGGTACTTATAGAAAACTATTATTAGTAGTAATACAAAATTATGTAACCCTGGAATTCTACAACTGTAGAATACATAATGTCGTCGTCCCTTTCTCTAAGATTTAAAATAACAGAAACAGCAATATTTTAATGCAAAATCACTGAAATCGAAGCCCACGGTAACGCCTTTGTATTAAACTTGTGGCTAATTATTTATTATTATTTGTACTATGATTTTACGCGTTTTTCATTCTCTTCAATTAGGATTATTCATGGATAAATAAATAAAAATCATGTTAAATTTAAACCATAATTGATATAATGATAAAAAGTTTCACAATACGAATCACACGATATCCTCAACCTCTTATAACCCAGCACCTTTTCTTTAAAACAAAACAGCTATCACAGCGATTTTCACGTATTACATAATTCATTTGTAACATTCATAAATTACATAAAACAATTTTCATACAAGGACATTTAATTCATCAACTTTACATACTGGTACATATAAATGTCAACAAAATAAACAGATCGAATACAAATTGTACAAAATTCACAAAGATAATTATTACATTTTAACTGTATTAATTTGTTATTTATTTTTGTACTAACTTTATTAATTTTAATTATGATTTTATACTATGTTAAAATAAGACTTACATATATTCATTTATGTATTTTTTGAGAAATGGTACATAATGTAACAATTCAATAACATATAAACTATTCAAGAAGCCTTCATAATTTAATTATGAAGTTTTTTTTATAATATAAGGTGGCAAACGAGCAAGCGGCCACCTGAATCCACCGCGCTGCACATGCACATGCAGATGCATTGCCTACCCTTAATTGACGGAGGAAGAGACCCTTAAAAAGACATTTTCCCATCTTAGTCGTCTTCTCCACCGTCAAATTCACTTTTCCTTCCCATCCCTTCCTCTTAAGAAAAGGGTGCAAAGGGAAAGGGACTAAAATTAGGCCTTTGGCACCACACTCATCAGACGAAACGCGGAATTTCTTCCACTTCACGCCTGTTTTCTGTGTGGTAGTCGATTACGCGTGCCGGCCTATTCGTGCGAAGATGTTAAAGCGGGCTCTACCACTGTTACCAACAAAGTTATCAACTATTATGGTAAAGTTATCACATACGATCAGGAAAATAAAATCCCATATTGCGAAAAAATATAGAACTAATTTCGCGCACATTATTACAAAGTGTGTAGAAGTACCCTTAGGTTAGGATTTATATATTCTTGGTTAGACTATAAATCATTTAAAAACAAAGTATTCTTTTGTGGTTAAACCACTTGTAAGAAATAGTTATTTATTGACTATTATAACGCAAGTAAATTTGTGAATTTAACAATCTTGTATTATTAAATATAAAAATATGATGAATTCAGCAAAGAATTAAAGTTTTTTGGTGAAATTAACATTTTTTTTATAAATATGAAGAAAACATATGGTGATTATTGACCTATTTTTATTTTGTCTTAAAAATATGTTCATGCCAAGAATCTTTATATACATAAACAAAAAATATTTTTGCACGCGACTTCGTTCGTGCGTAATTAATATATTCAATAAAAGGTGTAGAGTATATTATTCAGTAATAATGTAGCTTTTATATTTTGAAAGCGTTCTAGTAGTGTTTTTATTTATTTGTTAGATACAAAAATACATCTTTCCTCATAATTAGAACAAATTAACTGATGGTCCCAATTTAGTTGTCTACTGCATTTATTTATGTGTATTTAAACAATTTTTATTACGATTTGTAATATGACTAGTGTAATTGTAAACAGAGTAATACATTTTAACACGATTGAAGGGATTTATAATTTAATACAGTCAAAGCTTTTTATAGTGTGTAAAATTGTGACAGCGAATATATAATCTGTTACATACGCATTATATATTTAACTATATAAAACTTAAATAAATGAAAACTGTCTCAGTTACAATAATATTTAGTTAACTATTACATAATTATATTATTGTTTTCACGTTAATTACATTACACATTAAATTACACATTTACACCAAATCCTTGGTGTAAATGTGTAATTTATTATAAATATTCACAATTTGTGTATCAAAAATCAAATAACTAACTTAATTATACAAAACATTTATATGTCGTTTATTTAAATTATAATACGAAACATATAAAACATGAAAAATTTACTAATAATTTAATTAACAAAATTTTAAAAGATATATTGTAGAGGTAAATTCCTTTATGTAAATACACATTTACCCCAAACTTGGGATTAAACTTTACTAGGTAACCTTTAAAAACCTTATTTTTAGTGGTTAAATGTATATTTATATTTACCTTCTGACTTTAATATTGTATTATCTATATTATTATAATAAAGCGTAAACACACGCTTCTTTGTTGCTTAAGATGTCAGCAATTACAGCATATTTTTGAATAATTCTTTCTTTAATAAAAAAGCCCTACACTTACGTCATGCTTTAGGCTATATATTTTCACGCCATTAAACTTAGGGAGTAAATATTTTGGATAAAAACCCTAATGTGGGAAAGAGACCATAAGATGCTGCCAACATCAAGAAAGAAAGATTGCTAAGGTTTGTCATGTCATGTCATTTTGACATTTGCTATTGTAATTTGACAAATGCAAACAATAATTTTTTTATTTGATGCGGATGAAGCCGCACGCGAACTGTTAGTATTTTGATATAAAAGAAAGAAGTTAAAGTAATATATCGTTAGTTCATGAGCCGAACTCGTGCGTGTCAGTGTCGATGGCGGCGAACTGGTAGCCGCCGCGGCCGTCCATGCGCAGGTAGTGGTCGTGGTGTTGCCACAACGACTTGCGATGGGACACCGTGAACAGCGATATACCCATCTGTGTACAAAATTTCACATATAATAAACGCAGAAAAAATAGCGATTTTGATTTACTTTTTTTAAAGAAAAACTCAAAAACTACTTAATAGGTTTTATTTAAAAAAAATTAAGGACCAAATGGCAGTCAGTTATTTGGCATCAAATAAAAAAAGAATCACGTAAATCATAAATAATTGCGAAAGTTTAGATGGATGGATGTTTGTTAGAGTTGGTAGCCTAAACGGCTGAATGGATTTCGATAAAATTTGGTATGGATGTAGAGGATAGTTTGGAAGAACACATAGGCTATTCATTTTTGTTTTTTTAATTCTACGAGAACGAAGTCGCAGTCGAAAGCTAGTAGTATCATAAATCGCAAAAAAGATAACCTATTTCACTAACATATCTTTGTAATGGTGTAATATTTGAAATTACGTCAGTAGTTTTTGAGTTATTACAAAATATACAAAAATACAAATCTTTCCTCTTTATAATATTATAGATAAGATATGTATATCACCTCTCGACAGTACTGGTACATTTGTCCCTCGACGTCAACGGAGACGGCGCTGGTACATTCATCTAGTATCGCGAACTGCGGCTCGTGGTAGAACAGCCGCGCCATCTGAAACAATAAATAAACATAACGAGTGAAAAATATAGCCTAAAGATTGTTTTAAGTGCCAGGCTTTTAATTATTCTAATGCTGTGATTTCTGACATTTTACATAATGAAGTAGTGTGTGCATACACTTTATTATATTAGAAAAGGTATTTGGCACTAGAAATTAAGAAAAGGTTAGCATTAGGCATGTTATAAGGCATGAATCATATAACAAGAAATTTAGTTATATGTGTGGAGGTACACCGGTAGAGGACTAGAAAGAGATGGATGTATTCTATAAAAGGTGACATGATCAAGAAGGAAGTGATTGAGAGGAACCTACGGGAATATATATATTTTTGTAATACAAGGTGGCAAAGGAGCAAGCAACCACCCGAACCACCTGACGAAACGCAGATAAAGGGGACATTTCCCCTTCCTATGCGTCTCCTCCACCGTCAAATCCACTTTCCCTTCCCATCCTTTCGTCTTAGGAAAAAGGTGGAAAGGGAAAGAGACTAAAATGAGGCCTCCGGCACCACACTCATCATACTGTACCCGGAATTGCTTCCACTTCACGCCTGGTTTCTGTATGGTCGTGGTATTACACCGGGCGAGCTGAACCATTTGTGCGAAGATGTTAAAGCTCTCACTCTTTAAAACAGGACAAATTCATGGCATGTAATGTTGGTAGTGAAGAGAAGAGCAGTGTGTACTGACAGCTATCCTCTGCTTCTCGCCGCCGGAGAGGACGTCCATCCAGTCCTCGACGGCGTCCCAGCCGCCCTGCCTGTCGGCGAGGTAGGCCAGCTGCACCAGCTGCAGGAAGCGCGCCAGCTCGGCGTCCGAGCGCCCGCGACGCAGCATCTCCTCGTGACTTTGAGGATAGATTACCTGGTAACACACGTAAATACAATTAAATTACTAAAAATAATATTACCATTAGTTAAAATGATAACACATTACACAATTATAACGACAATCTATACTATTATAATAAAGCGTAAACACACACTTTATCGTCTAAGTTTTCAGCAATTGCAGCATATTTTGAATAATTCTTTCTATAATAAAAAGCCCTACAATTACACCACGCTTTAGGCTATATATTTTAACGTCATTAAACTTAGGGGGTAAATATTGTGGATAAAAATCCTAATGTGGGAAAGAGACTATAAGTTGCTGCCAACATCAAGGAAGCAAGATTGCCAAGGTTTGTCATGTCATGTCAATTTGACATTTGCTATTGATAATTTGACAAATGTTAACAATAAAATAAAATTTGCATAATTTCATTCGGATAAAGTCGCACGGGAACAACTAGTAAAAAACTCATAAGATTAAAATAACAAAATTACAATTAAAATGTCAAAATAATACATTTTTTTATTGTCTCACAACTAGTAGAAACGTTTTAAAAAAAGTGTATGGAGTGTTTTGTGTGTATTTTACCTGGTCGCGTAAAGTGCCGAGCGTCATGTACGGCCGCTGCGGTATATAGAAGAGGCTGCCGCGCGGCGGCTTGGTGAGCGCGCCGCCGAACAGCGGCCACAGCTCGCCCAGCAGACGGAACATGGACGACTTCCCGCAGCCGTTGGGCCCGCACACGACCACGTTCATACCGGAACTATACGTATACGAGTCACATGGCGTCGCTTGCGTTAACACACGAAATAGTTAACTATTCGATGATATGTGTGTTTCTAGTTTAACCAATCAATAAACCCCAATTAAGTAATGTTGTAGATTATACTCCGTCCGCGTGGATTAAAAAAAAAAAACAAAAGTAAGTAGTCAATGTGTTCTTCCAGACTATCCTCTATATACCAAATTTCATCGAAATCCCTTTAAGCCGTTTAGGCTACAAACGCACATCCATCCATCCATCTAAACTTTCGCATTTACAATATTAGTATGATATACAAAAAGAAAAAAAAATACTAAAGAAATAACGCAGTACCCAAATTCCTACATGTTAGAAGTACGACAGGGCGGCATAGGGCTGCCAAAAAAATGAAATGAAATTTTTTTCCATGATGTTTTCTATAAATTTAAATTAGTCTAATGGATCCAATGAGGTCCAGTCGAAATAAAGTCTGTTAAAATTTAAGATTTCGACTAAGTTTTTATCTTTATAATCAAGTAAACAATTAAATTCATAAAAATATTGATATCATAGAATTTAATTTATATAATATGGATTAAAATCTAGGTTTTTACTAAAAAAACAGACAAATAGTTTGATCACACTTAACTCAATAACTAGAATTCATATTTGAAAACTTCTTTTTGTATTATCAAGTACAGTTATCATAGAAGGTTATAGGATGTAGAACATCACGACTACCATTAAGAGGTGAGCAGGAAGTAGAAACTTACCGCACTTCGAAGGTAAGTTCCCTGATGAGCACGTCCCCGTTGGGTGTGACGAGCGGCACGCGGTCGAAGCGGATCACCTTGTCCTTGTAGATAATGCGACCTGCGCCCGGCAACAGCGGCATTGGACTGTCGCCTGATATACAATATTTTAAATTCATTATTATTAAACTATAAAAAATGTCCCAAACTCATTAACAATGCCGAGTTCAAAGTACATTTGTTACAATGCAAAATTAAGACAGCATCAAAATGTAATGTAAAAAGGGTAACGCATTTTTACACAAATATGGAAAATTAGAATTCGCCTGCGACTAAGCCAGCGTGGAATTAAAAAAGCAAAAGTGAGCTTATGTGCTCTTCCAGATTATCCTTTACATCTATACTAAATTTCATAGAAATCCGTTCAGCCGTTTAGGCTGCAAACTTTAACAATCCATTCGTCTATTTAAATTCGCATTCGTAATCATACTTACTTACTAATATTATAAAAGCAAAAGTTTAGATGGATGGATGTTTGTTAGAGTTTGTAGCCTAAACGGCTGAACGGATTTCGATGAACGGTATAGAAGTAGAGGATGGTCTGGAAGAACAAATAGACTACTCACTTTTGGTTTTTTAATACCACGCGGACGGAGTCGCGAGCGAAAGCTAGTATTATTATAACATCAAATCAAATATATGCAGTAACTCCTACATAACAGTTTGTGTTTACCCTTTTTAAACCAATATTATAAATGTTAATATTATATACTAATATTATAAATGCGAAAGTTTAAATGGATGGGTGTTTGTTAGAGTTTGTAGCCTAATCGGCTCAATCGATTTCGATGAAATTTGGTAAGGATGTAGAGGACAATCTGGAAGAACACATAGGCTACTTGGTTTTGTTTTTTTTAATTCCACGCGGACGGAGTCGCGGGCGAAAGCTAGTAGAACATACAATTAAAAAAATAAATAAAACACGGTTAATAGTTTTATACTGACCATCCTGGTTCCTGTCGACCATGGTGCGGCTGTATTTCCCCTGGTTGACGTCATGCAGCACGGCGCGCAGCTGCGTGACGCGCGCCGTGAGGCCCGCCAGGCGGCTGAGCTCGCGCCCCGACAGCACCAGCCGCCCGATGCCCTCCGCCATCTTCACCAGCATGCGCCCGTACGTGTAGTAGTGCTGCACCACACGAATCATTACATATACTATTACAATAAAGCGTAAACACACTTTGTTGCCTAAAATGTCAGCAATTACACCATATTTTTTAATAATTCACTTTTTAATAAAAAGCCTTACGTCACGCGTAAGACTATATATTTTCACGCTATTAAACTTAGGGGGTAAATATTTTAAATAAAAACTCTAATGTGGGAAAGAGACCATAAGTTGCTGCCAACATCAAGGTAGCAAGATTGCCAAGGTTTGTCATGTCATGTCATTTTGAGATTTGCTATTGATAATTTGACAAATATAAACAATAAAATAAATTTTTCATACTTTCATGCGGATGAAGCCGCACGGGAACAGCTAGGTAAAATAATAAAAGGTACTGCTAAATGGCTTGAGCTAGCACGATATCAGAATTACTACTAGAGATCACATGTTGGCGATCATGGGGAAAGTATTCCAGAAATACATTCAAAATACTTCTCAATCAGGATATCATCGATTTACCAAGCTCATAACATGCAAACAATGTTCTCGCAACGATCCCTTTTTTCAGTATTATTCAAATCCTCTACAAAGACGCTTGGCAGCGCTCGTGTTCTAATTACGACTCAAATTCAGATTCATTTCTTCTGATTGCGACATATTTATTACTAGTTTGATATCTATGACATATATTTATTACTAGATGTTACTTGCCATTTCTTCCGGGTAAAATTAAAAAAAAATAACAAAAAAGCTGCCTATGATAATCACAGATAAAATACCTTTCTAACGGTGATTTTTTTTTTAAAATCTGCCTATTAGTTTTTGAGTTATTCCAATATATACAAAAATACAAATCATTCCTCTTATTAGTATAGATATATCTATGTCACCCCGCTACACACTACACTAACCTCAAAACTCTTTGATGACTTTGTTACGTCTAATTTAGATATATTACCTTAAATCGGTCGTTTTCAGTACTGTTTGTGAGTAAATTGTGATTCTTGACGAAGAAAGGACGAGAGACAGCATAAAATCCGACTATTATAGCCACATCTGAAAAAGAAAAAGAAATATGTTACTATTTTTAACAGAATGATTATGAGTACATAATGCGTTGTTATTTAGACGTAAAAGATAAGCTATTTACTTATTGTGAACACTTTTTTTTTTTTTGCAAACAAGATTTGATTTTGAGTAAAATTGTGTTACGTTAAAAAAATCAGAAACAATTTCATTTATGCGTCTAGTTTGATTTTAAATTACCGCCATCTATCTCAACATGAGTGTAATGAAAATAGCCAGACTTACGAAAGTCCTATTTTGTATTGGATGGTTTTTTTTATAACATAAGATGGCAAACGAGCAAGCGGCCACCTGAATCCGCCAAAATGGCGAAGCGACCGCTGCCCATTGACATCCGCAATTGCAGATGCGTTACCTACCCTTATCCGACAGAGGAGGAGACGCACATAAAGAGGTCCCCTTATTATGTATCTCCTCCTCCATCAAATCCACTTCCCCTTCCCATCCTCTCCTCATAAGAAAAGGGTGGTAAACAGAAAGGGACTTGAATTAAGCCTCCGGCACCACACTCAACAGACGAAACACGGAGTTGCTGCCATTTGACGGCTGTCTTCTGTGTGGTCGTGGTATTACTGGGGCGTGCCGGCCCTGCAGTGCTAAGATGTTAAAGCGGACACTACCACTGTCAAGTTATTAGTATAGTGGTATTATTAATAGTGAGTACACTAACATTTAGCGATAATGTTGTCGACGAAGCCCATAGCGACTCTGAAGTTGAGGAAGTTGCGTAGATGCCGCGTCAGCTTGTAGAAGCTGGCGAGTAGAGTCAACTTCTCCCGGTTGTTGCCCTACAAAAATTTAATAATAAAGACTTTATTGCTGAAGACTTTTACAATGTTTTTTCTCTCACTAGTTATTAACATTTTTTTTTAAGAGAAATAATTTTGCACCGGCTGTTATCCTAAACTTCCACCTGTCTATCTCTAGCTTTAAACATTTAATTCAAACCAACAAAACTCCACAAAAAAATATGGAAACGACATTTTATAATAAAAAAAAATTGAAATAGGCTTATCAGATATTTTTTTTTTTACCAAAGACAACGTAATTCCCACTTACTTGGTAAAAAGCAATCTCCTCAGAGTTCGTGATTAACCTCGAATTGACATATCTGAATTCACCTTCTAGTTTTTGCTCTTGTACCGTCATACGAGCTGAAAATTAATATTGATTTTCTAAACACATTAAATTAAAGCAAAACACTAATTTAATTCGTAAAAATACAGATTCAAAAAGTTTCCAATTCTATATATAAAAAAAAAAAATAGATTTTTTTTAATATCAACACTGTAAAACTTACACGTAGGTCTTCTAAGATATGTCAAAAATATACCAGACACGAATAGATACGCCATCATTATACCAGGAGTCTGTAAAAAAGAAAAACATACCAGTTACAATTTAAAAAAAAACATCTAAAAGAATCAAACTTCTCTGTCCAAGTTTTCTAAAAGTATTTTCATAGTTTTATAACAAAACAATTGACTTCGTTTACAATTACTAGTTAAACAATATGAAGTTTTTAAATACTCATACACAACAGGATAAACTCGTATTTTATATACATTTAATTGCAAAAACAACTCACCGACGGTCCTAAGTTCACAGTCAATCTATAAAGGTAGAGTCCAATATCCAATAGAGGTTTGCTAATATTACTGTACAGGTTGATAACTGTGTCACAGAACTTGTCAACGTCTGTGGTCAATAACTGGTCCGCGTTCGATATCCGATTGTCCAAATTTGTTACTTGATAGTAAGTGAAGCCTCTAGAAAAGAGAAACGTACATATGTACTAGCTATCACCCTCGACTCGATCCGCGTGAAATTTAAAAAAAAATTAGCTATGTGTTCTTCCAGACTATCCAATATCAATGCCAAATTTCATCGACATTTTCAACAGTTTAAACTACCTTTTTTTTTTATAACGTAAGGTGGCAAACGAGCAAGCGACCACCTGAAATCGCCAAAATGGCGAAGCGACCGCTGCCCATAGACAGCCGCAATTGCAGATGCGTTGCCTATCCTTATCCGACGGAGGAGGAGACGCACATAAAGAGGATATTTCCCCATCCTATGCATCTCCTCCACTGTCAAATCCACTTCCTCTTCCCAACCTCTCCTCATAAGAAAAGGGTGGTAAAGAGAAAGGGACTTAAATTAGGCCTCCGGCACCACACTCATCAGACGAAACACGGAATTGCTCCCATTTCACGCCTGTCTTCTGTGTGGTCGTGGTATTACACCGGGCGTGCCGGCCCATTCGTGCTAAGATGTTAAAGCGGGCACTACCACTGTTAAACTCTACCTCTAACAAACATCCATCCATTTAAAATTTTGCATTTATAATATTAATAAGATGTGTTATATTGTTTTTGTTATTATTCTTATTGCAAAAAATACGTAAATATAGTGATGATCACAAAGTTAGCCATGTTTACGCGTTGAATATTAAAAGTTGTTTTTTTGTTTCAAATATGGAAACTCATACTCGATTGTTACAAACAGTTATGCAAGAACTAGCTTTCGCCCGTGACTTCGTCCGCGTTAAATAAAGAAAAAACAAAAGTGAGTAGCCTATGTGTTCTTATTCACTACATCTATACCAAATTTCTTTGAAATGCGTTCAGCCGTTTAGGCTACAAACTCTTACAAACATCCATCCATCTAAACTTTTGCATTTATAATATTACGTATGAAGTATGATAGATGCAACACATCACATAACACCTGCATGTTATTTTATTTACATTTACTTAACATTTCAAATGAATCTTAAGTATTCTATTTATGTGATTTCCTTTTAAAACTGTTTTGTCAAATCATGAAGGTGATTTTACGTTATTTTATTCTAAATAATTTGTTTTTTTCGATACATTGTATTGTGTGCTAATTAAGAATTTGAATGTTAAAAATCACGGTTTACCTACGCCTAATTAATAACCAAGACTCTAAGTTCAAGTCAATTAGGAACAACTGAATTCTCAACTATCTCGTTTCACACAAAAAATATATATAACACGCAGATGTCTCCTCTCTCACTTTCTCTCTCTCTCCCTCTCTCTCTCTCTATAAATTATCGTATGTTTTAAACGCAAAACTTTAAACGTTAATGCGATTATGACGCATAAATGTAAATCTATAGACAACTAAAATCTACATTTCTTCCTAATGATTCTTGCTTTACAAAGAAATTAGCATTTATCACGTTAATTAAAAAAACAAAACGTGGTATAAATCGCAATCGTTCTCTTATCATATAAACCAATCATTATGAATCATTCATTACATAAGTATAACATATTAGCTTTCGCTTGTATTTCGCTTGCTCCATCTGCGTGGAATAAAAAAAACAAAAGTGAGTAGCCTATGTGCCTTCCATCCACCTCTACATCTATGTCAAATTTCATCGAGATCTGTACAGCAGTTTAGGATTAGGCAAACATTCATCAATGTATCCATCTAAACTTTCACATCCTACTAATATTATAAAAGCGAAAGATCAAATGGATATATTATAATGGATAGATGGATAGATGTTTGTTTGTAGATTAAACGGCTGAATGGATCTCGATGGAATTTGGCATAGTCGTAGAGGATAGTCTGGAAGAACAGATAGGCTATTCACTTTTTTTTTATTCCACAGGGACAGAGTCGCGGGCGATAGCTAGTTATTAGTAAGAAGTAAGATAAATATTTGATATAAATGGTGTTCCGCCGTTTTATTTCGTAGTCATGAGGTGGATTACGTGTATCGATTGACGCAACGACCTTCATGTTTATAATGCCAAAGTACAATTTCTACGCATCACCCGATATAGATAAACATTGGCTTCGTTTAACATTAATATACGAATATGTTATCTGTGGTTAGCTAACGCGTAGTAGTCGAGAGTACAGATTGTGAAATCACATGGGTTCGAATCCAATCTTCGGATATCAACATAATTTTTTTGAATACAATTTGAATCTTGGTTAGTAACTTGAATTATATTATCTATTTTTTATATCTATCTATACTATTATAATAAAGCGTAAACACACACTTCTTTGTTGCTTAAGATGTCAGCAATTACAGCATTACTTTTGAATAACTATTTTTTTAAATAAAAAGCCCTACATTAAACTTGGGGGTAAATATTTTGGATAAAAGCCCTAATGTGGGAAAGAGACCATAAGTTGCTGCCAACATCAAGAAAGCCAAGATTGCCATGGTTTGTCAGCGTCATGTCACTTTGACATTTGCAATTGATAATTTGACACATGTAAACGATAAATCAAAATTTTTATAATTTTACGCGGATGAAGTCGCAGGGGAACGGCTAGTATAATACAAAAATAGAATTAAAAAATTGAAAAACAGAAGGTTTTGTTGATATTTTTATCGTGTCCATTTATTTTACGTGAATGCTGTATTCTTCATTACAAAACATAATACATTCGCAAAGAGTGTCTTATCTAAAGTTAAAAGAGGTTTACTTACTTGAGATATTTTTGATATAAATATAACGAAAGATTTGTCCTAAGTCTTAATTTAGTTTCTCCTATACTCCATTTTAGAACATTGTTCACCACTGATATCTGGAAAATAGATTGAATTTTAATGTTAAAATTCTTGTTAAAATACAATTTTAGAGAAAAATATTTACAATGCGACATAATAAAACAAATGATTTTACATATTGTTCTACTGTTCTTTAGAATTACTGGAACATTTAGTGCCAGCATTTCTAAATGTCTGATCTATGAAATGACCTTCGACCTCGCGGTGATAAAATGGTTCTTTAGAGATTAAAACAGACAGCAGTTAGTTTATTCATTATTCATATTTACTCATAAAAACAGTCACCCCGCTCTGTCCACACGCGGGGACAAATAAGAATAAAAAGTTACATCCGTCCCACCTCTTAGTCCCACTATCACCAATAAGGTGATAGATGGAACCGTTAAGAAATAAAATATAAATAATAAAGTTCCAACCGTCCATTAGTCGCATAAGGTGGGACTGATGATTTTCTTATTGTCATCTACCCTGCGTGGGGATAGAGCGGGGTGACGGTTGGGGATAATCAAAAAAATCCTTACCAATGGCATTGCTAGGAAGATTTGACCCACAAGTCGCTTGAATTCTTTGTGATTCATTGTTATAATGGACCTGGAAACAAAAAACACTTTATTAATTGTAAATCAACCAGTTATCATTAAAAATTAAAACTAAATCACTATATAGGAAGGGGAGATATTGTTCTGAACTTCCCCTCCTCTGTCGACAAAGGGTAAATTATTTCGGCAAATTCAGGTGACCACCTACGCGTTTGCTACCTTATGGTGTAAAAAGAGATTGGTTAGAAAAGCCCACATGGAAGTAGATATGCGATTGAATCTTATTGGCAAAGTAATAATTCCAAGGCCTTTCTTTAATATGTAATATTCATAATTAAATTACAATAAAATGACATAAAAAACAAATTTTCTTTATTGTAATATTTTCTCAATGCAAATAAGACTCTACAATAATAATCATAAAAGGCCTAGGCATTACCGATTTTTGTATTTATATTTAAATTGCCGATACTCGTTAGCTTTAGAGTCAAGAAAAACATGGAAGATAAAAAAACAGTATGAAAATATACGATACTTTCTATTCTTGTTAAAAGGCATGAGGAAGAGTTGAGCCGTTCAGCTTTCAAGTAATTACTATTGTATATTAATAGCTAAAATTAAATTTAAAACATTCTATTCCGGTCATTAATATTATTTTAACGCGAACGACTAACGATAATTTATTTCATAATTTTTATTGCAGAGGCTATCAAGAATATTCCTGAGAACGATTTCATAACCTCGTCGATAAAATTTGATAGATTTGTGCCACACCGCTAACGGGCATACTACAAATCTCATACAAATTGTCGATATCGTTACGAATATATTCTTGCTGCCACGCTAACGTTCGTGGTAGACCCTATGTTTTCTGTTCAAATATTAATTCAAATACTAATTAATGTTAATTAAAGTATGTAATACATTTAACTTCCGAAAGCATCGACCTTATATTACATTAAAATAACTTGCATAGCAAACATCTGATATAATAAAGTACATTTACAGATCGCAACTAGGGAAACGGAAGTATGTGTTTTCGAACGACCTTTTCGTACAATAACGAAATTAAATTTAACGACCAAAGACGTTTTATTCCAATGCATTTTTTAAAACATTATCTTCAATATACAAAAAATTCGGCGACATATAAAAATTATACAAAAAAATAGGAAATCGTACGTAAATATTTAAGACAATGCTTTAATGAAAATGTAAACCCATCTTTATAATATAAATCTCGGTAATAACGTAAAAAAAATCTTATTATTAACTTAAAGTAGAATACAGACAAAAAAACCTTGAGCTATCGTCAGAACCGTCTACAAACTCTACGCTTTAATTAGTATGAACCGGTCTTTGCGGAAATCAAACCGAAAAGGCGTAGAGAAACAATTTTTAAAACTTACGAATTATGCGAAGGTATACAAGGATGTAAATCTCTCACGCAAATATAGCCCTCATTTTTTTTGTACTACAGTTGGCATATGTTACTCGTGGCTACTCGTGGTGAAAAAATTTTAAAACCGGTTCAGTAGATTTTTACTAAAATATTTTGTGCGTTTATTAGAAACTCACAAGTCTTTTCTTTAATATTAGTGCATTAATAAATGTGCTATATAAAATCATGACAAAAAAGACGAAAGATTTGTATATTTGTATTTTTATGAATGGCAATAACTAAATAACTGAGCCGATTCCAAAAAAAAATTTAATTAAAAAGCTACGTAATCAGTAAGTAACTATATTTATTTTTTTAATTTCACAAGGACGCAACCGCGAGCAATAGCTAGTGTTATTATATATATGCTCAAAATCAATGAACTTCCTATACTTCATATATGGATTTCTAAATTTGCATCACCTTGAAGCAAGTCACTAATGTCACGCAGTTTCTGATTTACATTTTCTACTGTAATTGCCGATTTTTTTGAACAGTTAATGGAAACTTTTGTTCGCAAACTACGTAATTCATACATGACCAAAAAACCAACCAAAGTAAATAGTTGTCAAAAATTCAATTGTTTTTCTTCAAAATCTCCTTATATTGTATACACAACAGGACTATTCGCTTTCTGAAAATAAACCTTTAAAAACCTAAATTCCATCCAATAAACTTCTGGGTCTTTAGTACAAATTATGAACGACAGAAAAATAATCTACATTACAACAAACAACATTAAATTGCAGTATTCTTCATAATAGAAAATTTTAGTGGTTGCTCATTGTTCAATCAACCCAGTAGGAAACACTCAAAGATTTGACAACAAAACAATAGATTCTACAAATTGATTATTGATCAATCCCTAAGTAAATTATTGTATATGCCTGTTAACAACAATGTCAACAATTACAACAGTGTTCGTTTTTGTTATTTACACTTGAGTATTAAACTGTGTTAGTATCCTGTTATCTTGCATTACTCAGTTAATGTGACTATAGATTTTATACTGCGGAGTTAGTCAATTGACATACTGTTACCCAAAATGCCAGAATAATTAGTGGATTTAATTGTTTTCTCATTAATTCTACCAATGTTGAAATCTAATAAGCATACTAAGTGACTATTTAAATACCATTTACTGGATATTATATCTTAAAATGTTAGAATCTCTCATACATTGTAGTTAATATGAAAAGTTCAATACTACACATATTAAAATTCAATGTTAAAAACATTATACATGTAAACTACTCTGACCTGTACGCATACAATAGATGAACTTTCCAACATCTACAATTTAAAACACATTGCTTACCTATTGCATGGTAAAAAGTAATTAAAGAGCATGATAAAAACATATCTACTATTCTATTATATCTATCTACTATTTAATATAATATTGCATTTGTGAAAATTACACAATAAACTGCATCAAGAATCTTCAATGCTTAAAAACATGTCATGTTCTCAAATTCTCAAATGTAAAAGAAATATAGTAGCTAATTAAAACCATCGCGTTTATAATAGTGAGTAAAAATTAGCGTTTGTCTGCGACATAGTTCATGTGTACATAAATAAACTATAATGTAAGCCTATGTGTTCTTCCAGACACTATTCTACATCTAAAACAAATTTTATCAAGATGTTGTTTAAGCCTTTCTGGTGACCATAGTAATAAATATTGATCCAAAATTGTGCACTTATATTAGTGAGGTATGTTTAACTGTTTTTAACCTGCTTCTGGGAGGTTAATAATAGAATGAGAAGTATAACAATGTTGTGGTACAGAAATTCGAATTGGAATATTACCACTATAATATCTTTTTCTCACAATAAAACAAAGGTATTGTATAATAAACATCATTAAAATTTTAACATACAAAACCCAGCACAATGACTGTTCGGAAAACATGAAAAAAAATTATAATACCACTGGGAACTTCAGCCCAAGTTATTATTTCAAGTTAAAGTTTATTAAGCTTATTTACATCTATTTAAAAGTTTTTGCCAATGCATGCATTGTAATGCCCAAGTGCAATTGACAAAATGTTAATAATCATAATGTCATAGCGCAAGTAAAAATTATGTTAAAACATAGCCATTGCTCATAACTTTGTCCCATGAAATTAAAAAAATAATACAAAATACAGCTCATGTTACTCACAGATAATATACCTTTCTAATGGTGAAAGAATTTTTAAAATAGGCCCAGTAGTTTTTGTGTTAATCAAATACATACAGAAAAGCAAAAGTACAAATCTTTCCTCTTTATAATATTAGTATATATTACCAAGGTCCATCTAGTTATTCTGGAGATATGTACATAGCATCTTTTTAGATAACATCTATCTAAACTTTTGCATTTATATTAGTAAGATGGACAATATTTAAACCATGGTTAAAGTGTTAATTCATTGTTAATTAATTTTCAAGATTGCCATAGACAAACGAGCTTTAAACCAACACAATAACTTTCTAGAGTTTATCAAAATTATCTAATCTAAGTAAGTAAGACGAAAGCACTTACCCTTCAACTAATGTAGTATGCTGGATTAACCACAAATCACACATAGTTCTTGATACAAGAGCAAGAGCTATTAACACCATGAAACCACTCTCTTTTGACCACAATCCAGGCACCATTATTTTCCATAGAGCTTTCAGTTCAGCAAAGAATCTTGCATCCACTTGCGCCTTGGGTTCTTTTCTGTTTTTTTCTTTTATCATATACTGGACTCTCTCTTCCGGAGAGAGTTGACCAGGCCGTGTACATTTTGTTTTACTGGAAACAGAACAAATAAACTTATTTAACTATAACAATTTTCTTCAAATATCTGATTTAAATCTAATACAAAAAAACCTTTCTTGTTAGTAAAAGCACTGAAATATTATCATTTACAGCTAGACTGTGATATCTTTTTTAAATTAAATATATAATTTTAAATGTTATTTCATTTAAAAAAATGATATATTTGTTTCTTAACACTTCAAATATTACCTTGTTTTCATAGATTTCTTTATTAACCATGCACTGATTGCTGCCGTAGCAGCTATTGCAATCTTAACGTCTGTCCTTGAAGTAATTTTGCTAAAATTCGGAGCCATTGTAATACTATAATATTATATTAAAATAGAATAAATAATAATGAAAGCACTGAAACAATGTCGGAAAAAGTAGTCGTAGTCACATATTATCACTGGCTGTCTGACGTCTGACGACTGATCAATTAATATGTCACTGTCACTGAAACTTCTGATAAATCCAAATGTCATCAAGACCAAAGAGCAAATAGCGTTTTCGGAGCATTACCCTTCAAAGATTAAGCAGCAATCAATGGCGCAATCGATCGAGGAAATAGTAGAGAATCGACTTCTCGATTATCTACTATTTCCTCTCTTTCTCTCTCCCCCTCCCTCTCTCTCCCTCTTCCTAGCTTGTATCCCATGTAAAAGTGTAGTCAGCATTCTTTGTTATTTCCATGTATGTAGTTTGCCCATGTATGTAGTTAGAATTTTTGGTCTCATCTACTGTACTGTACAGTACCAAAATGAGCTTTAGACCTTTTTATGGCAAGTGGCAATAGCCAGGTAAAGGAAATTTTTCTGAGCATTTGGTAAATTGTAATATTGAAACACATGAGATTTATTCCCGTTGAATCGGGAATGTAAATTATCACTATCACTGATGAGATGTGCGACCAGTGCTATAGGGTCTATAGGTTCAGTTTACGCTTTAAAGTTGATAAAAAAAAATGTCTTTTTATAATTATTCTTTATTTATTCAGTATTAGAGTGTCAAAAGATGTAAAAAAAGTAGAAAAGGCAGTTTCTTGCAAAAGTAACGAGAGTGGGGTTACTAGAATAGAGATTCAACCCCTTCTTGTGACTTTTTACATAAAAACGCAGAGAAATGCCTTCATCTTGATTTTACAAGAAGTAAGAAATTGAATATTTCCCCCTTGTGTTCCTAAAAGATTATGATTTTTCCTCAAGCAATATATCAACTTACTAGGTGATTTATTGAAACAACTCACTTTTATGTAACGTTTTGGAAGGTCTAAAACTACGCGTTTAATAGCTTTTCATCGAATTAGTGGTAAATCTGCTCGTTGCTACCATAACGGAAAATTATTGCCGTGTAATTAAGAAATAAATTTTTGAGGATAAGCTAGACACAAGCAAGTAAAAGAATTAGGAAATCCCCACTTTTGTTTCTATTGACCGTGTTATTTCTATTATCTTTTCGTTATTTCTTGACTTTATAAAGTTATGTGAAATAAATGTAAAATAAAATGGATTTTATTACAGTTGGAAATTTCTTTTGACACCCCTAGGCAAAATTAATGATAGGATTTACTTAAATATAATCCTTTATAATCCATACTCCAGGATTGAGGGTTACAAAGAAACCTATCCAGAAAATCTGTAAACAGAAGACAAAGCATTCTAAATCCTGTTTGAAGTCATCTGTCGTATTTTTCGTAGAAAATTAGGATAAATAATATTCGACGTATCTGTTCTAAGTTAGTAGTACAACATACTTAACTACGAACACAGTTAAAACATTACATCAAAGCGTGGAATGAATCAAAATCAATATCAAACATAAGACAAGGACAAATGCTGTGTCTACTGATGTTAGAATGAAACGGCAATATTTGGTCAGCTATATTTACCCTAGTTAAATATAACAGCAAAAGTGTTGACACCATTAAAAAATTCCCAAATTACGCCGAAAACGTTTTTGGTAATCATTTACAAGGATCTAAAAATTACATTTAGATCCTTATCCCCGCCGCATTCTTGGCAACTATGGTTCGATGTGATATATTAAAAATTGCCCTTAAAGAGTTTTACCCGAAGAAAGGGTATGTAGAGATAGAAAATTTTTGAAACTCTAAAAGCAAAAAAAATGCGTGCTTTGCATTGATACATTTTAGGTATTTTTGTATGTTTGCTACAAGTATCACGAGTTTATATTTTGAATAAATATTGGGAACCCTAGAATTGAATACTGGTATTCAGATTCTCATGCTCTGGAAATTTCCATCGCAACCCGCAAATTTTTTGTCTCTTTCAGCCTATTCAGATATCTCTTTCATGTGCCCGACAGCTGCATCATTGAAATAGATTATTCTAGAACGTATATAGCCTTCTCTTTTTAGCACATGGCATTGTCTCTTTTACCACCGTGATGGAATGTTCTGGAAAGATAACCCTACTAAATTATACGTTCCTTGTGACAATGGGTATGCGGTCAAATGTCTATACGTCTCCATTTAGTTGGGTTATCTTGCTATCGACTGCATATAAGGGCTTTCGCAAATTTGCGCACGTCATACCGTTTTAGGGATCTTAGGATAGAGGTTGGGTCGTAGTTAAAATGTTTTTTAAAACTAGATTTTCTTCCTTTTATTGTAGAATACATTTAATTGATTATTGTAGAAACGTAGGATATAAGTAGTAGGAGCCTAAATGCTGTAGAGTATTGCAAGCTGAATTGTATAACGCCGTGAGCAACGCGTTCATGCCAAGATGGCGGAGTCATCGCCCGGTTGACGAAAACTGCTGACATCAAACTGCCCAAATCGTGTAAAATTGGAGGTAGGTAATTTAAGTTTGAAATATTTATTTAACATAGGTATAGTGATACAGTTTTACGGATTTTGTTATTGCGCATAAATTGTACTTGTGGTCTACGGTCGAAAGGGCGTGGTCAATCTAAGTTTAAGTTTCAAAATGGCGACGTTGGTTTAATGGTGACGTTGTATATTGTTAAACTATAAAGAAATTTGTAGGGTTTCAATCTGTATAACAAGCGTTTTATATATTTGTACAGCATGAAATTCATAATTTAAAATTTCCATGGAATATTTCTTCTGATTTCGGATATCGACTTGGCGTAACGACGCCATTACGTGACGTCATGTTGACCTTGTAGATAATTAAGTCATAGTCTTAAGAATTAGATAGGAATAAGATGTTTAAGACTGCGAACAAAAATATCAACCATGTATAATAAATTTTTGTAAGAGATTTATATTATGCAAGATTATTGAGAATTTTCCAAAGTACTATCTACTTATGCTAGTGCTTCAGAACTTTATTCGTTTACGATTTTTTTACATTGATACTAAGAATACAAGAATACTGTAGGGATTTTGTAAGATCTAACATTTTAGCTTATGATTTGGGATTCTACTAGTGTTAATACATAAGTAATTAATTCTAGCACAAAAATTTTTCTTTTTTTTTATTAACACCTAACCTTGCATATACTTTGACTGCCATGTAAAAAAAAGAGCAAATTACTTTGATCCGTTATATTTCCATTTTATAATATTTCAGGAGTTTTGATTTATTTTGCTTCAATCATCACCGACGCCGCCGTTGTCCCACACAATGTTCAGCATCACGCAGGCGTATGATTGCAGCTACTCTGTAGTAATACGTATTGGCTTATAATCAAGTCGATAATAAGGCGCGTTAATAATCGTCAGGACCAGGCAGCGCTAAATCAATTTTTTTGAAAACAAAGGTATTTAAACTCGTTATAAACGAGGAAAGTATTTTACACAAATAGAGATTAAGTTAGCTCATTTAGCAGTAGCATAACCATTTAATCGGTTTGTTTAAAAAAAAAAACGAAAAAAAAACTTAAATTTCATGAACATATTAATACTAATTTTTACTTGTTCATAGCGCATATATTTTTTGAAAACCATTCGTCATTAAGCGCTTTAAAAAGAATGTTACACATTTAGCTTTTTCTGAAATTTTTCTTGTACCATACTATACTTAAGTATAAAAAATGTATGGAAAACATCAAAGATTAGAAAAAGCGGATTTCAGTTCTGCATGTAAATATTTTTTCTACCGCATAACGTTAAATATTGTGTGCCATAAAGATTCTATGCAAAACTATAATTAATTTTCAGATGATCTATTTAGGTCGAGTCGGAGCTTACCGGTCGGTTTAATGGAAGGAGGATTTTTAGTTAGGAGTCTGGGTAGGAATTTTCCGTATCCAGTAGATTGAAGGCCGTAGATCGTGAATAAGTCGGCTATCGGAACAGAGTATTGCAGTATGATAGATAATAAAATATAATAAACAATTTGAACAAAGAAATACACAATTATAAGTATAAATAAACAAGACACGATATTAGAATAAGCTGATTGTTCATCTTTCCCACAATACATTACAATGTAATAGCTGTCGACCTTTGAACAATAAATATAATCCATCATGAGGTTAATTTATTTTGCCTTGTATCCTGGTTCGGGAAAGTAAAATGTGAGGTAAGGATCTATAAAAATGTTTCAATTTCTTTTAACTCTTCAAAATATTTCTGTTAACCGTTTTACGTAAAAAAAACCTTTCCTTTGAATTTGCGTAATTGTCTATGGACTTGATCAAGTTTTTTCGGTTGGAGTTAGGTACAGATATAATTGGCTCTGTTTTCGGTAAATTTGTACAATCATACTATCTAGGTATTTTATAACATTAATCGTTTAACTGCGTGTAACTTACTTTTTTTTCGAATTCTCATACTCAACTTATGTCGTTTATACGTTCAATAATCAATTACATACGTTATTCCCAAATATTTATTTCATACAAATGTAGTTGGATTGGATCAAGGTTTACTTGATTTTTAATTCTACTACATTTCGGTGGTCCACAAACGAGCGCACTGAAGGAATAAGCCTTCAGTGCGTTCTTAACGCCAGCTAGAATTTTCGTGGACCACCATTTACAACACATTAACGCCTAAATTTGTATCCAGCGCTCATGGACCCCAGGGATCTTTGACCTGGAAAACTTCCATATTAACTGATTTAGAGATAGGATGCTTATCGACTTGTACATAATATTAATCGTATACGGCTAACTGCGTGAAACTAAATGTTAGATACGTGTGTTTTTGTAGAATTGTTTAGGTACTCAATTTATTTCGTTTATTCGTTTAATTACTTTATTCCCAAATATTTAAACAAATGTAGTTGAATTGTATCAAGATTTACTTGATTTTTAATTCTACTACATTTCGGTGGTCCACAAACGAGCGCACTGAAGGAATAAGCCTTCAGTGCGTTCTTAACGCCAGCTAGAATTTTCGTGGACCACCATTTACAACACATTAACGCCTAAATTTGTATCCAGCGCTCATGGACCCCAGGGGTTTTTGACCTGGACAACTTCCATATTAACTGATTTAGACGTAGGATACTTATCGACTTGTACTTAATGTTAATCGTATACGGCTAACTGCGTAAAACTAAGTGTTAGGTACGTTTGTTTTTGTAGACTTGTTATAGGTACTCAACATATGTCGTTTATTCGTTTAATTACTTTATTTCCAAATATTTATTTCATTCAAATGTAGTTGGATTGAATCAAGGTTTACTTGATTTTTAATTCTACTACATTTCGGTGGTCCACAAACGAGCGCACTGAAGGAATAAGCCTTCAGTGCGTTCTTAACGCCAGCTAGAATTTTCGTGGACCACCATTTACAACTCATTAACGCCTGAATTTAAATCCAGTGCTCGTGGACCCCAGGGGTCTTTGACCTCGACAACTTCCATATTCACTGATTTAGACGTAGGATACTTATCGACTTGTACATTATCTAAGTAACTTTCTACATAATATTAATCGTATACGGCTAACTGCGTGAAACTAAATGTTAGGTACGTTTGTTTTTGTACGATTATTATAGGTACTCAATTTATGTCGTTTATTCGTTTAATAACTTTATTCCCAAATATTTATTTCAAACAAATGTAGTTGGATTGAATCAAGGTTTACTTGATTTTTAATTCTACTACATTTTGGTGGTCCACAAACGAGCGCACTGAAGGAATAAGGCTTCAGTGCGTTCTTAACGCCAGCTAGAATTTTCGTGGACCACCATTTACAACTCATTAACGCCTAAATTTGTATCCAGCGCTCATGGACCCCAGGGGTCTTTGACCTGGAAAACTTCCATATTAACTGATTTAGACATAGGATGCTTATCGACTTGTATATAATATTAATCGTATACGGCTAACTGCGAGAAACGAAATGTTAGATACGTGTGTTTTTGTAGAATTGTTTAGGTACTCAATTTATTTCGTTTATTCGTTTAATTACTTTATTCTCAAATATTTATTTCATACAAATGTAGTTGGATTGAATCAAGATTTACTTGATTTTTAATTCTACTACATTTCGGTGGTCCACAAACGAGCGCACTGAAGGAATAAGCCTTCAGTGCGTTCTTAACGCCAGCTAGAATTTTCGTGGACCACCATTTACAACTCAATAACGCCTAAATTTAAATCCAGCTCTCATGGACCCTAGGGGTCTATGACCTGGACAACTTCCATATTAACTGATTTAGACGTAGGCTACACTATTGAAATCTAGCTTTATAATTGTACTTTTTTTTCTCTACACTAGTATATCAAATTCGGACCGGAATGGCGTATATCTTAAAAAATTAGGACTCTACAGTTTTAGCGCGAAAGAATGTCAATTTTAATTTTGTCTATATATTACAAATATCTAGTACCGACGGCAAAACAAACAATAAAAAAGTGATATTAAACCAAATCAACTTTGTAATTAGGTAGTTTAAATTGGGAGGTAAAGTGTAGCAATAATTTTTATGATACAAAGTTAGCAATTAGATGAATTCGAAATACAATAACTGGAAAAGACAATAAATATTCGGTCACTTTTACTTTAGAGAAGAGATAAAACGAAACGAAATTTTTTATGTAGGTATTTTAACATATATGGAAAAGTGAAGTAAAAATGTTTTTTTTTTAAAAAAAGTATCTTCAACCGACGGAAAAACAAACGTTTAGTAAATTAAGATCAAACTTAAATAAACTTTTTACTGTTGGTATAGTTTTACTTGGAAGGAAAAGATTAGCAAAAAAAACTTTTATGATGCTAAATAGGCAATTTGGGTGAATGAGAAATATAATTACGAGAATAAAATTGAAATTAAACTAAACTGATTTTGTGCTGTAGGTATTATAACCTCGAAAGAAAAGTTTGGCAAACAATGATCTTGTGATACAAAGCGATTTAAACAAATAAGAAATACAATATCTAGAACTGACGAAGATATAAAGTATATTTGCTAAAAAAAATGGATCCAAGCAAACTGTAGTACAGGTATTTTAACCTGGAAGGAAAATTTTAATGATACAAAATAATTTACGACAACAGCAATAACTAGAACCGACGCAGATATAAACGATAAATTTTACTCTAAAACTCCGATCAAACTAAACGAACTTTGTGCAATAGATATTTTAACCAGGAAGGAAAAGTTTACTAAAAATATCGTAAATATCTTTATGATACAAAGTAATTTACGATTAAAAACAATACAATAACTAAAACCGACGGAGAAATAAACGATTAGTTTTACTCTAAAACTCAGAACAAACTAAACGAACTTTGTGCAATAGATATTTTAACCTGGAAGGAAAAGTTAACTAAAAATATTGTAAATATCTTTATGATACAAAGTAATTTACGATAAAAAGCAATACAATAACTAAAACCGACGGAGAAATAAACGATTAGTATTACTCTAAAACTCGGATCAAACTAAACGAACTTTGTGCAATAGATATTTTAACCTGGAAGGAAAAGTTTACTAAAATATTGTTAATATCTTTATGATACAAAGTAAATAAGCAATACAATAACTATACGAGAATAATCAATACGATAACTAGAACTGACGGAGAAATAAACGATTAGTATTACTCTAAAACTCAGATCATACTAAACGATCTTTGCCCTGTAGGTATTTAACCTGGAAGAAGTTTACTAAAAAAATATTTTTATGACGCAAAGTAACTTATGAGAATAAGCAATACAATAACTAGAACCGACGGAGAAATAAACGATTAGTATTACTCTAAAATTGAGATCAAACTAAAAGTACTTTTTGTTGTAGGTATTTTAACCTGGAAGGAAAAGTTTATTAAAAAAATATTTGTATGATACAAAGTAATTTACAAGAAAGGCAATAAAAATGATCAGTATTACTCTAAAATTGAGATCAAACTAAGAGCATTTTGTGCTGTAGGTATTTTAACCTGGGAGGAAAAGTTTAGCCAATAATAATGTAATGATGCGAATTTAGCCATTTAGGTGAATTGGAAATACTACTGAACCAACGGAAAAATACACGATCAGTTAGTATTGCATTGTATTACTTGAAATTAGGATCAATCTAAACACAAACGAACCTTGTGCTGTAGGCAGTGTGTGTTGAGTTGGAAGTAAAAGTGTAGAAAATTAGTTTTGATGATGCAAATTAGTGATCTAGCTGAAAAGGAAAAACAATAACTGGAACCGATCGTAAAACAAATGATCTGCTTCAACAAAATGAATGAAGAATAAGTGAACTTTGATGTAGGCAGTTTGAATCGGAAGAAAAAGTATAGTAAAGATTCATAGGGCGGAAGAATTTTTGTCTTCGAATCGTTATAGGTCCCCAGAGCAAAACTATGTCGACTGAAACGCCTTTGTAGCATTTGACTGTGTGACATATTTTTGAACAATTAAAGCTAATATCAAATAATAATTTTGTGTGCTGACAATACTTGAAATTGTTTTGAATCGGTGTTATAACTGAGTTTTTTTTTGCGGAAAACCCCGATTGGGTTGACAGATGTTAAGGCGGCAATCAAATAATAGGTGGCCGGTGTTATTGAATGTGCAAAGATGCGCTTTGGTCGTAAGCTCGTATAAAGTCAATTTGGTTAATCTCTCTAAAACTTTGCAATCAATGAATGTGTTTGTATTTTTCACTAAAGATTCAAGGACTGTGTTCCTGATATTAAGCGATTATTTCTTTATCTCCGACATACGCACTCCTACAATGGAGGATAAGTTAACATATCTATGATCTACCTTCGGAATTAACATCTGCAAGACGCTCGTCACTTCCGACATATGTATGAAAAAAAAAAGTAAGTGATCTCTAAGAAGCAAATGCTTATTAAACGAACAATAAAATTAGGCCTGAGTTTTAGAGGTGAACGAATTTTGCTTGTTTTCTTTACAAACGACGATATAACCGCCGGTAATTTGTATGGAAAAATAATTTTGATGTACTATTTTGTTAACGTACTAAGATAAAAAGGACGAAAATTTGAGATATGAAATAAATAGGTATCACTTATGAACAAATTCTTATTGTACGAATAAAATGAGGTTTGGGATCTTAGGGCGAAAGAATTTTGACCTGGTTCTTTGGTCATTTGGTTTAACATTAAAA